CCCCTTGGAGTCGTTGTTGGGGAAGATGGCCCCGGCGGCCTCTTCGCTAGAGGCGAAGGCTGAGTGGCGATGTCGAGTCTGCGGACGCCGTGGTCGATGCGCTCTGGCCTAACTCTCGGACCAGGTCTCGGCAATGGTGCTTGGGAGAGAATGCTGGAGACGATTTACGAGTCACCGGCGCTAGGCAACTCGATGCATTGCTTGGAGAAAGCGTCGGATGAAGTCTCGGAGACTCGTCCGACCCTGGATGCAACTCTTGAGGTCCCGGGAGTTCCGGGGTGCGCGTGGGTGCCAGAAATTCCAGCGAAGACCTTTACCAAGTCGCGCCCGATCGTGGATTTGCATAGGGGAAGGTGTTCGAGCCGGGCTCATGTTGAGTCCCAGACGAAAATAGGGGAGGTTGCGGATGATGAGCGGGTCATGGTCCGCACCGCCTAGTGACAAAGCAGATGGTAGTCGACCAACCATAGCTCGGGGTTGGTCTCGCCATTGTACTTTGAGAGATTCACTGGCTGACGAAACCGGGCCAGGAAGCGGGCGCTACGGACGGCCTTACTGAAAACTATAGGGCCAGGCGGCCCGGGAGAAGGACTGCGGTCCTCCCCACTGTCATAGCGACCGCCTCGGTGCAATTGGTAGCCCCGGGCAGCCCCATCATGGTCGTGGCGCCGTCGTCTGCTGCCCACGTGGTGGCCGTTTTAAGCCCCGCGTTGGTCGTCGAGGCGGTCGTGCACCGAGGGGGCCCTGAGGCGATCATGCACCGAGGGGGCCCTGAGGCGGTCGTGCACCGATGGCTGTTTCGAGGCGTCCCCGCGTCGTCGAGATGCGGAGCTTTCGACTTCTTTACACCGCGGCGATCTCGAAAGGCCACAGAGTTCGCCGTGGACCCATCGCCCCTCCGTGGTAGAGGGCTCGGGCATCGCTTCGGACCCGATGTCGCCGCCCGGCGACGTTACGCTAAGCGCGATTGAAGGCGGGGGTTGCTCGCCCCCCTCATCATCGTTAATCTGGCGGTTGACATCGCGAGACCCCAGCCGAGCCGTTCCGCCGCCATCGCCGCGCCCCTTTGCTCTTGCTCGAGGGTGGCTCGGGCTGCTGCGGGAGGAGTCGATCTTGCTCGACCTTGGTTTGAAGCTCACAAAGCTGCTCTAGGTCTATCGTCGAAGTTGCTCGGGGTGGGGACACCTACCGCCCCGTGGCGAGATCCGTGCATGGTGGTGTGGCATTGGCTGCCTTCCTCCATCGTTGCCGTGCTAGGCATTCCGAGTCCGATGTGGAAACACTCACGAGTCGGGTCGTGGCGTCCTCGCCGTCGGAATCGGAATAGCCGAAGCGATGATCGCTCGCGATCATGAAGCGGCGCGCCGCCTCGGTCACGAATCCGGAGAAATGCTGCTCCAACCCGCCTCGTCCTCCTCCGAGGAGTCGAGTGGGGTGGATTGGAGTTGTGACTATGGGGTTATGGGCATGGCGTTGATGAATGGAGGCGAGGCGGTGGCGTGGGAGGCGGCGACATTGGTTAGCCCGAAAGAATGCGGGGATGGCGCCGTCGCCAGGCTCTGCTCCGCTAGAGCTGGCTCCTCGGGAGGAGGCGGGGCGAGCTTGATGATGGGGCGTCGGCTGTGCGCCACCGGCCCTTTTCCCCTATCGAGGCTTAAGCCGGATAGGTCCCCGTCTGAGGACTCTGTGCGGCGGCGAGGGGGTATGGGATTCTGGTGGAGCACAGCTCGGTGTTATGTACTTGCGTGGTGTTAGGGTGGACTCGCTCGCGCGGCGCTTGATGAGCTTGACGGGAGCGGCGGCCCGGGCGCCGTCCGCGCGTGGGCTGCCGGTGCATGACGTCGTCATCGGTTGATGGCACTCTGGGTGAGAGGAGTACCATGTCGTACTCGTGCCCTAGAGACATGAATTCTAGGCTCCCGAACAGACGATCGTCCCAAGGCGCAACAATCGCCGCAGGATCTCGCCATCCGAATCTGGTGGGATGACTAAGGCGACACGCAGAGGCCCCTACAGCGCCAAGCGCCGATGTTTGGACCGGGGTCCTTAACCGACTAGTGAATTTGTGTTGCGTGCTCCCAATTCCGGATGGTGATGCAAAGAGACACAAGGTTTATCTTGGTTCGGGCAATGGATGCCCTCGTCCGGTTGAGAAGATGTTCTTGTATTCCTTGCACCGGGGTGCTCGTAGTAGGGGTTACAAGCTAGGCGAGAGAGGTTCGTCCCAAGTCTCTGTGAGGGAGGTGATATGAATTACGAGAATGCGGCGTGTTGTTAAATGCAGTGTTAAGTGACTCTATCCGCCGTCCTAAAACGGTCTGGCTGCCTCCTTTTTTATAGCCGCAGGGAGGAAACCATGAGTACATAAAGAGAGCTACAAGTGGAAGGACTATTCGATGGCGTATTTACTCCACGGAGCAGCATGGCGTTGTCGTGGGAGTTCCGTAGATGTCTAATCGGTATGGTCTCCACTTGCAAGTAACATCTTTGCGCATTTGTTGACTTGGTGGATTGCGAGGCTCGGCGGCCATCGTGGCCGGTCGTCTTAGAGGCTGTGTTGTCTTAGGAGCTGTTGTCTTGCGAGGCACGAGAAGTGACCAGTGCGAATCTGGGTCTTGGCCGCCATCGGGCGGAATAGTGCGAGGCGTGCGCCTCGAAATCTGGTACTGTATTGTCGATGAAGGGATGGTAAAAAAGGTGATCGACCGTTGTCCCATTGCTCTGTTGCGCGCCTGCTTGCTGATCGTGGCTTACATAGCGGGTGCGGTGGCGCGTTAATTGGATCTGACGACTGCCGGAGAGACCTTTGAGGCGGGCGGCGAGAGGTTGCGGACGAGCCCGGCCTCGGGCGAGGCGAAGCGTGCCAATTCGTCCGAGGCCCTACCGGGGGTCTCGGGCGGCGGAGAAAGATCGATCGAATGAATCGAGGCCCTATCGAGGGGGCTCGGGCGAGCGGGCGGTCGGTCCGCGATTCCGAGCTCTGAGAACCCGTTCGACTCCCCGCGTTGCGATGTCCTTAAGCGCGGGAGTTAGGCGACCGCAGTGGTCGGTAACCCCTGCTCTCTGCGTCGCCGCAGATGGCGGGAGGTTGATCTTGATGGCGTGTAGTCGGTCACTTCGCCGTTATCTTTGTGCCATCGTCGTCGTCTGTCGGAGTGGTTGGGCGCTTGGATGCGACATTCGGTCAGAGCAGTTTGGTCGAAGAGGCGGTCACGGGGCTGGTGCCGAGCCGGGCTCGCGCGAATCGGAGAATCGGCGCTTCTTCCGAGGCCCCGGGCGAGGGGGCCTCGACGAGGGGGCCTCGGCGAGGCGGTCTCGGGCGAGTCGGAGAATCGTTCGCTTCCGCTGGGGCTCGGCGATGGGGTCTCGGTCGAATCGGAGATTTCGGCCGAGACCTCGTTTGTTTATTCCAGTGGTTCTGTTCTTAGGGTCTAAGCATTTTTTCGATCTTTGCTTGGGGTACCCCATTTTCTGGTACACCTACCTTCACCATTGGCTACACCTGCAAGACGTCGACGCAAGCCTATGATAGATTTTGGCTTCGTCGAAGTGGCCGCTTTGCACAACACAATGTGTTAAAGGATTTGGGCGTTGTTGGGAAGGATGGGAAGCTCAATGAGAGTGCAATGCAAGACATCGTAGTTTGCCTAAAGGAATTGTTGCCACCAGACCTCCTCAAGCCATTGATGAATTTAAAGGGTCGTGCCTTTTGGGACTTTGTGGCGGAGGCCTCTCTCCATCTTTGTTAGGGGTCATGAAGGAAGCGCAATTGCGATTTTAGTGTTTTGACGACGACTGTTGTTCGTGTGATGTGTGTCACTTGGCTGACTACTGCGGAAGAGTTTATGGAGGTTCAGTCTTTGGTCTGCATTAGTGTTTGTATTAGTTGTTTCGGTTGCTTTAGTTGTGTTGTTGTTGTTTTGTTGTGTTGTAGTTTCGTTGTACTACCCAGTCTGGGTTTCTTCTTTTTAATATAATCGGCGGCTCTCCTGCCTGACCCGTTTAAAAAAAACTACTCCGTATGTGTCAAGCTACTACTATAAAAATTATTTTTATATTTAGATAAACCAACAAATATCATTTAGATTTCAGACATGCATATTTGATTCAACTACTCCCTCCATTCCAAATTTTAAGATGTTTTGACTTTTTTTTTGATACATAGACCTATGCACTTAGACATACACTATATCTACATACTACATAATAAGAGTAATGTATCTAGATAGAAAAGCCAAAAACGTCTTATATTTTGTAATGGAGGGAGTAGTATTATCACGGTGTTGCCGACTACTGACTTAAATTAAACTTACATTTAGAGACAAACTCATATCATTCAGATTTCATATTTACCATGGTACTAGTACTACCAACTGAAGTTAAAGTTGTTTATGTTACACGTGTTTTGGATCATCATTTCTAGGAGTCTCGTTGTCTCATGTTGTTTGCCACCCATCAGTCCATGCACCGACGAAAGCTTTCATTCCATTTAATTTATCGATTGCGAGGTGATATAAATATGTCATTTTCTCACTGAAATAACCTTTTCTAGATAATGATGATGCACGAGCCATTAAAGTGGATCTCACTTTCATCAGATGCTACGGATTAGTATGGTCCATGTTAATAAGTTTAACAACACATGGTTAATAAGAGACAAGCTACAACTTGTTGCATTATTAAGGTGAAAATCAATACCATAACTGTTCTTTTATAAGGCTTGTGAACTTGCTAAGCTTCTAAATAGTTTTTCTTGTCTCATAATGTATTGTGTTCTGCAAAGAAAAAAAAAGAGGATCAACCATAATTTTCTAAATTGAATTGTATGCTTTTGAGAGCCAACTAGAGGCCACGATAATGATTGTCGGAATCGAAGATATATGCCAATTGTGTTATCTATTGGGTACGCTGACCATTTCTCATTATTTTTCAATTATATTCCAGATAAGTCCCAGTTGGACATGCCATTAGATGATCTTACACCACTACGACTAAGAGACATGGTGTTCTCGTCCGCTGCTACACCTGCTAATATGAAAAAATGCCTAAAATGTTTAGTGGATGCAGCAAGGAGTTCTTCTGGTGTCATACTTAACACCTTCCGAGACCTTGAGAATTCTGATCTTGAAAAGATTGCCAATGGCATCACAGTTCCAATATATCCTATTGGGCCACTGCACAAGATTTCTTCAGGCACTGATGACAGCTTGTTAGCACAAGATTGGGCTTGTTTAGAGTGGTTGGACAAGCAAGAGGTAGACTCTGTTCTTTATGTAAGCTTTGGGAGCTTGGCATGTATAGATGAAAAGGAACTGTTGGAGATAGCATGGGGCTTGGCCAACAGTCAAGTGCCATTTCTGTGGGTTATTCGTCATAACTTGGTCAAATCCTCCTCTAATGACGTGAGCCTTCCTGATGGCTTTAAGGAGGAGACACATGGAAGGGGAATGGTGGTGCCATGGGTTCCACAACAAGAAGTTTTAAGACACCATGCAATTGGTGGATTTTGGACTCATAATGGATGGAACTCAACTCTAGAGAGCATTTGTGAAGGTGTCCCGATGATATGTAGACCCCAATTTGCTGATCAGATGATAAATATGAGGTACGTCCAAGACGTGTGGAAGATAGGGTTTGAGCTAGATGGTGACTTAGAGAGGGGGAAGATCGAGAGGGCTGTTACAAAGTTACTTTGTATGGAAGAAGGAAGGCATATGAGACAGAGGGCCAAGGATTTAAGGAACAAAGCCATTAAGTGCATCAAGGAAGAAGGCACCTCTAAGTCTGCAATTGAGCTATTGGTAAATCACATAATGTCATTTTAGTTTATATGACGTATTATGTACCTTACATGTAACAAGTAGTTCCATGAGAAGGCAGTTTAATAAATAACAGTGCATGAGATGAAAAGAAGGAATTATATGACGCCAATGCGGAGGTCTCAATGTGATGCATTGAATAAATATTTGTGAATAATATAGTTTATAATAATGTTGTTGTAGAACTCTTTACATATTTTGTGGTTAGCATAGTTTGTGTCTCTGTGCCTTCATTCCTCTACGTATAAATATTTTTCGCTTGTTTTTAGCTATTCTTGTGTGTGTATGGATGGCCAAATAGGCGACATGATATGGACATGACGACTAGGCATGGGCACAGTTACCTGGTCGGGCCGCATGTCGTGCTGGCCGGGCTTAGGCATGACCTTCACAGGCTTAGCCATGTCGTGCTGGTACGCTAACCACGGTAGGCTTGGTGTGCTCGTGCCAGTCCAAGCATGACAGTTAGCTAGCCAAAACTACTCATTTGGTTCCAAATTGAACAAATTTTCATTCATTTCATCATCTATATCACAAAACTCACACATGAATATCATCACATATTCACAGATCATAGCACAAAGCACAACTCACACACACACACGCGCACACACACACAAATAAGTTCAATCTTAAAATAGCAATATAAGTTTGAGCTGTTTATGCATTGACTATGTCATGCCAGCACGAACACAACTACCTATGTACGTGGCATGCCTTGTGGCGTTCATTTAACCTAATCCTTTTGGCTATCTATGAGTCTAATTGGTTGACTCTATCAGCCTATATCCAGGCTCGTGCAGTGTAGTCTACCCATACTTGGTTGCCTACAGAGGTTCTTAGGGCGTCCACAACAGTAGTACCAAATAGACAGCTGACGTGGTGATTTGAGTGAATAAAGAAATAAAGAAAAAAAATGGCTGCGCATGCGAGGAAATGGAGCAGCATGTCAGAGACCCCAAGTTTCTTGGTGGCCGTGCGAGCTACCTGCTTGTGCAGTCGCTAGCGAGTGAGTTTTTCGTCTTCTCTCTCTTCCAGATAGAATAAAATATACTACTTGCTAGGCTTACACAGTGCTCAAAGCAGGCCAATGATTGAACATCCCCTAATCTATATGCAGCTAGATGGGTTTATCATCACCATCTCAATCAACGATATCTATTTATCATCACCATCTCAATCAACGATATCGTCTATATGCAGCTAGATGGGTTTATCATCACCATCTCAATCAACGATATCTATATGCAGCTACTACTTGGTAGGTTTCTAGGGACATGGACGCAAAGACTGACGGGCCTTAAAGAACGCAATGTATAGACAAGTGCATGCATACTGCGTGTGTGAATATACGGGCCCTAGGTTTCGGTGGCGTGACAGAATTGTAGTTTTTTTTTTTTCCTATCTATAGAACAGCAGCATGTGAACGAAATTGCAGTTTTCATATATGGTCCACGTCGTGTCTTCTTAATTATATATACGCTCGGAGGTCTTTATCTCGTACGTCGATCTCTGTTGTTTTCGTGCCATTATTTCCCACGTGGACATACTTCCAGTGTACTAGTGGAGTCGATTTTTCTTTTGGTTCGTCACAAATACGGTTGCAGGTTCTTAAAGTAAAAAGGTGGCCAACACTAGTAGAGAACAGACCTTTCATCCGAGGTTAAAATAGGCTCTAGTTCCGACATTTTTTGCGCCCGGGACTAGAGAGACCTTTAGTCCCGGTTGGTGTCTTCAACCGGGACTAAAGGTCCTCGCCTAACGGCTATCTTACTACGCTCAACACGATGGCGGGGGGACCTTTAGTCCCGGTTGGAGACACCAACCGACTAAAGGTGGACCTTTACTCCCGGTTGAGCCACCAACCGGGACTAAAAGTCCCCAACCTTTAGTCCCGGTTGGTAACACCAACCGGGACTAAAGGTCCCCCAATGGGTTAGTTCAAAAGGGAAGCATCCCATCCTTTGTCAGATGTGTTATGTAGGTGGGGTGGTAAGCTACGCGCGAGGCAATGCATGAGGTCTTGAGTTCGAATCTCACGGGACGCAGCGGTGGGAGGCATTATTTTTTTTAAAGCTGGGAGGACCTTTAGTCCCGGTTAGTGTTACCCCCTTTAGTCCCGGTTCCTGACCCGGGACTAAAGGACCTCCCTTTAGTCCCGGATGCTTGCTCCCGGGTGGGGAACCGGGACTAGAGGGGGTTCTCCACCGGGAGTAAAGCTTTGTTCTGTACCAGTGCAACTTTTACTCTTCGACGTGATCGAACCAACGTGCTATTGTTTGGGGAGCTCATGATGCATGTGGGCCAGGCCTCTCCGAAAGAGGTCTAAATAGAGGTTTAGGCTGCTAAATGTAAAACCCAGTTCTATGAAGAGTCCACTTACAAATGACCACTCCCCCTATATAAGTGTCAAAAGATATAAGGGATGAAGTTTCTTTGGAACAAAAAACAAAATAACCCAAATTCTTGTGACTCAGAATTCTGGTCGGAGATGATAGAGCCGAAGGAAGGTAAGATCCCTCGGAAGTCTAATAAAATGGTAACGGTCTATGCAAGGTGTCCATCCGTTCAGGCTCTCCTTTCTAGGCATGCGAACTAGCCCAACAGACCTGCTCCTCTAACGAATTCTTCGTCTAAAAAAATTGGACTCATTCCCCTTCCTCCTCGACCGTTGTGGCATTCTCCACTGCGCCATCCGATCGCCGCGGCTGATTCTATCGCGCCGCTCGCCATTCCACCGCGCCGCCCTCTCACCACTCGCCTTCTCCAGCACTGGACAGCTCGCCCCGGGCGCCATACCCGCCTGCCTGCCAGGGCATTCTCCAGCGCGGGGCTGCTTGCCGCGGGCAGTGCACCCACCCGCGTGCTGGTCCCCCGCCTCCGCGCCACTCCATGGTATCGAGCTCCGCGCCAGCGTCGAGATCCATATCGACAAGCCTCCATTCGTCCAAGCAGCAAGTAAATGTTACGCTGAAAGCACATGTTTAAACGGATATTTCAAGTGTTTCTGATGTTTCAGTGGTATGTCGCGTGTGTTTCATATGGATGTTGTAAAGTAGATACATATATGTTGCAATGGTTATACATGTATGTTGCAATAGTTTATCTCAAATATTTCATCTATTTTAGACATTGTAAGTATTTTAGGTAGATGTTACATATGGCTCACACATGCTCTATCCGTTCTCATTTACCCGGCGTACAAGGCCTAATAATAGGTACCAAGACGTTCACCGAACACGCAAAGCCTATTAACTCAGTAGCTAGTGCATGCCGTCGGAGGACGCCATCCCCCTCACTAGCCACTGCATGCAGCGACGTATTAACTAACTGGCTAGCAACCCCCTCACTAGGTAGCGCATGCAGCGATGCTTTAGCTCTAGCTCGTGCATGCAGATGCCTTGGTACTCCCGTGCGCCTGATATTGTGGCCAAATAAAAAAACGTGTCTACGCCTGGTACACAGGAACGGATATGCAGCACTGCCGTGCCTGCAAATAAGCTCGACCCGAACTCAAACCATGGAGATGTGCTTGGAGATGTCTAGTAGCAAGTCCACTAAGTACCTGCACTCACAAACACGTCCAATCAAGTAGATCGAGTGGAACACAAATAATGCAACTCAAAACATAAGAGAGAGGACACGCGATTTATCTTGTGGTTCAGCTCGCCACCAAGGGTTGCCTATGTCCACGTTGTTGAGGAAGCAACAAAGGCTTTGGGTCTCTTCTAACCCTACCCTCTTCTTAAGTCCAACGCCGAGGTTGAACTTGAGGTTTCCACTAAGATCTTCGGGTAATACAAACTTTCCCGTGGCTCACCACAAGCACGGGAGCTCGCCAGGCGATGTCTAGTCATCTAGGAGGCTTCACCTCCAAGATCGAGTAACGAATGCACAACGAAGATTGACGAAGCTGGCAAGTGCTCAAGGTTTTGCTTGCTCTCTTTTGCTCTCTAACTCTTAATCACACGCTAATTACTTACTCTCACAAAGAGAGGGGTTAGAGAGACCTCTCAAATGGCTTGGAATGAGTTGGGAGTGATCTTGTCGGGCCCCTAATTTAGGGTCCTATGTGCATCATGTATCAATCCTGGGTCAGTTGCTGATACGCACAATTTGAACAAGATTGGTATAAAAAACCATACTTTTATTGCTAAGGGGGAAACACATTACATGGTTCAGGTTATATAGCTTGGACCATTGGCCTTATATCGTATATCAGAGTTCTAAGACAGCAGTCCTATATCGACATGGCTCCATTCCTACAGGTAGTTTGTAGTGCGGACGTTGTAACACCCTAGGTGTTTGGCTTCCACATTGGCACTTGCATTTCATAAACATGAGCATCATTCATCCATTTATGAGCTTATATTGCATGAAACATGCTTGTGAAACATTGCAACATATTGTCATATTTCATGTGTGTTTGTTTTATGAAATGAATAGTGTGCAACACTCAAGTGCAACATATGCAACTCACTTTAGTGAAACATGGTTAGTTAGTACCATGCAACAAGATCATGAAACATGTGAAACATGACTATGAAACAAGTGTAACATTTCATGTGTTTTTCATTGTTTTAGTACATACCATGTTTGATTCTTGTGTGACCAATGTATGGTGTGGCTAAAAATTCTTTTAAGTAACTTAGTTACACCTAGAATGTCATTTGGAATATTGTTCATATTGATCATTTTGCCTAATTAGGTTCCCAAGTCATGGTTTGACCAATTTTGACCCCTAAACCCTTTTGTTTGACTGTTTAAAAAGTGTAGCTTAGGATGTTTGCATGTCTAAGCAACCTAAAACAAAGTTGTAGCAAATTTGATAAGGAACAAAAGTTATTTTATGACCATCTCATAAAAATGTGCAGAGCATGCTCAAAAATGGCCCACAAGTTAGTTTTGAGATCTATTTTGTAACTCTGAAAATTTTGTAAGTCACAAAGCATGTTTCAGTTCCATGTACTGATGTTTAGCACAGTGTATCTCCCAAACAAAGCCAA